TTAACCGAAAAACTCGTTAACCGAAACCATTGTTTCAATGGGTTTTTGGGTAATTGGTTCCAGCTCACTGAAAATTGCCTAAATTCAACAAAAAAGGTAGAAAAGTACACTTACTTTGAGGTGTGTATGTAGAAGGCTCCTGGATGATGATGATGGGAATTAGAATGGGGGTGGAGAAGGGAGAAGAGAAGGCATTGGGGTGGAAGAGAAGTCACCCCATGGCGCCATTTCACCCATAAAATTTTAGTTCTCTTGGTGCAATTCAAGATTATTTTCTTTAAATCAACACTGCACTGCATTATATATTGTCAATATGTAAAATAAATTTCAAAATGACCAATAATTTGCTTGCAAAAACAGAAAAAAAGCATTTAGTTGAAGAGAGTCTCAAGCAAGATGTTACCTCCACTGAAAAGATACAAAGACTGACGCCTGTATGGTGTGTTGAGAGGCTGGATGGCACGCATAAAACTAGTTTCATTACCTTCAATTATGTTCAATAATTGTTAAAATGAGTAAAAAATTTAATATTAAACTTTTAAAATTATTGAATAGTATAAACTTCTTGATATTTGCTAAAATGGTAAGGAATTTAAGCCCTAGAACCGATTACTGTATTGGCGGACTAATACTACAGCTGGTGGACCGCCAAATGCAAGCGAAATCATGTTCAGGTTGGCTCGTAAGAAACTCGTTAATCGAGGGATTGCTCGTTAACCGAAGTTAAGAATCTCATGGAAGGTAACTCGTTAACCGAGGGACCACTGTAATCATAAATCAATTTTATATTAAAAACTAAAAGAATAAAATTAAAATTAAATAATAATATTAACAATAAAGAACCATAAAAAAAAAGATCAACAGTGAGAAAAAATATACAGAAGAAGTCCAAAAATCCAGACTGCTTGGGGATTGGGTCAGTCCGGATTTTCGGATTTTCCGGATTCTCAGGCACTTTTAAAATTCAAATTTAAGGAGGAATAAAGAAGAGATGAACAGGTACATTTTGATAGTTATTCATTAGCAAATATAGCATGCTTTATTTATCAAAACGAGCAGTTTTAATGAAAAAGCTGTGAATTCTAGAATTTTATTCTTTGCCTTTTTTATATCATAAATTGTAGACTTTCCAATGTTGTATGTTTCCATTAGAACAGTATTGCTCACACCATGTTCTAGTTTCTTAATTATTTCAAGTTTGTCACTCAATTTCAACGTGTTCTTCTTTCTCTTCACACAACGAAGTTTAACTACTTTAGGAGCCATTATTATGGGCTTGTACAGTACTCTGTAAATGGAAAGAGTAGGACTCAAAATATTGTTATATTACAATGGTATTCTATTCATACTGTGCTTGATATAATGCATTCACGGAAATGTAATATTTTTGCTGAAATGACGTACGTATTACAGTGGAAAGTGGGATAAAATCGTGACGAAAACAATGACTTTCGCTTTCTTTCGTTCAAAAGATGTTACCGTAATCGCTTTTTGAATGGTTTTCAGTTAAAGAACTGTTGTATTACAATAATATTCTATCCTAATTGACTTGAATAAATACTACGATACCATATTTCTGAATATTTTCATTAAAATCCATCAAAATAATTTTCCGTGTCATCATCTGCAGCACCAAACAGCTTCTCCCAGTCCTCTCCTTGAACAGGGCTAGAGGGTACGTGTTTTTCGAATCGTTTTCAGTTAAAAAACTATTACATCACACGTATATTTTACCTAAACTGCACCTGAATGAATATATTCTCGGATATAAATAGTAGTTTTGCTGAAACGTGATGTATTTCAATGTGAAATAGGATAAAATACATGACGAAAACAAAAGACTTTACCTAAGCTTCCGATGTTCTTGAGATGTTACTCGTTTTTTTAATAGTTTGCGGTGAAGAAAACAAATTAAGTGAGATAGTAGTGACTAGTAACGATGTTAGCAAGCAAATAGACAAACTAAAGCCTAATAAGTCACCTGGTCCCGATGAGATATTTGCCAGAGTATTAAAGGAATGTAAGGAAGAGCTTAGTATGCCCTTAGCAAAGTTGTTTAACATGTCCTTAAAAACAGGTGTAGTACCAGAATCCTGGAGGATAGCGAATGTAATACCGATTTTCAAGAAGGGGATAGATCACTATCCTCTAACTACCGCCCAATCAGTCTAACATCAATAGTAGGCAAATTACTGGAAGCAATCATTTCAAACTCTATTCGAAATCACCTGGAGAAGCATCGATTGATCAATGATTCCCAGCATGGCTTCACAAGCGGACGTTCTTGCCTAACTAATCTATTAACATTCTTTTCATCAGTTTTCGAATCGGTGGACGAGGGGCACAATTATGATGTGGTATATCTCGACTTTAGCAAAACCTTCGACAGAGTCCCCCACGAAAGACTAATTAGAAAGGTAGAAGCTCATGGCATCAAAGGTGACATCCTTAAATGGATTAGGGCGTGGTTACAGGACAGGAAACAGCGAGTGAGCATTAACGGCACTAAATCCCATTGGAGCAACGTCACAAGTGGAGTTCCCCAAGGCTCAGTACTTGGACCATTATTATTTATTATATACATAAACGACATAGATATCGGCATAGACAGCAACATAAGTAAATTTGCTGATGACACTAAAATAGGACGTGTTATCAAATCTGACGAGGACTCGGCAAAACTACAGGAAGATCTAAACAAATTTTTCCAATGGTCTGAAAAATGGCAGATGAAATTCAATGTCGACAAATGTAAAGTACTCAGTATAGGAGATGTAAACAGGGAAACCAGATACCAGATGAACAACGATGCCATAGAGAAATCCGACTGCGAGAGAGATTTAGGAGTAATGATAAGTAGGAACCTTAAGCCAAGTAAACAATGTGTTTTTGCTCGTAACAAGGCTAATAAAGTACTTGGGTTCATACAAAGGAGTGTTAGTTACAAGACTAGCGAGGTCATCCTAAAACTGTATCTTGCTCTTGTGAGACCACACCTGGATTACGCAGTTCAGTTCTGGTCACCGTATTACAGAATGGATATAGAATCCTTGGAAAGAATTCAGAGGAGAATGACAAGACTAATCCCGGGCATTAGGAACCTTGAGTACAGAGACAGGTTAAAGCATCTTAATTTGCACTCCCTCGAGAGACGTAGAGCGAGGGGCGACCTGATAGAGGTGTATAAGTGGAAGACAGGGCTAAACAAAGGGGACATTACAAAGGTACTCAAATTATCCAACCAGGAGCGAACTCGTAACAATGGTTTTAAATTAGACAAATTTAGATTTAGGCGTGAAATAGGTAAACACTGGTTTGGAAACAGTAGTTGATGAATGGAACAAGTTACCAAATATCATCATTAACTCGAATTCGCTGAATTGCTTCAAACATAGGTTGGATGCTCATATGAGCAATAGGGGTTGGGTGTAAACGGAACTGCCCAGTATGGGCCAATAGGCCCGCTGCAGTTTCCTCCATTCTTATGTTCTTATGTTCTTATGTTAAAATTCTGTTATATTACAATGATATTCTATTCATACTGTGCTTGATATAATGCATTCACGGAAATGTAATATTTTTGCTGAAATTACGTACATATTACAGTGGAAAGTGGGATAAAATCGTGACGAAAACAATGACTTCCGCTTTCTTTCGTTCAAAAGATGTTACCGTAATCGCTTTTCGAATGGTTTAGTTAAAAACTGTTGTATTACAATAATATTCCCTCCTAATTGACTTGAATAAATACTTGAATGGAAATATACAATATTTTTGTTGAAACTACCCGCGTTTCAGTGTAAAGTGTCGTAATAATAAATGGTAAACAATTTGCCTTCGGCAGTCGTGTTTCAGGCACGGCGAGCCTCAGTTTATAGGACGTAGAGCGTTTTTACTGAAGGTTTTGTTGTTCCATTACCCTCAAAAACGTGGGTCGAACTATAAACGAGGAATATCATAAATAAACGATTTCTTGGTCAAAAAATCAGGGTAGACCTATAAACGAGGGGGGTTATAGACGAGTATATACGGTATGTTGTCACAGTTTGATTGCTCGTTTTAAAGTGGCGACCACGTGGTCTCTTGTTGTCGCTGTGCAGCTGTGGCGCTCACGCATGAGCACATACACACAAAAGCCAGCTAAAAAAAAAATTAGTTTTCGAAAAGTCTGGATTCTCGGGTGGTCCGGATTTCTGGCATCCGGATTTTTGGATTTTTACTGTATGTATGTTGTGTTGCCAAAGTAAGAGAAACAATTGAAAGCCTGTAATTGTGTATAAACGAGGCAAAAGGTCAGATTAGCAACCTGGGGGGACTTTGTCACAATTTTTTTTGTCATATGGCAGCAGGGTTTACCATTAGGCAACACATTATGCTTCCAATATCTTCCCAGGTGGTAGTACATCCCTGTTTGATAGCTGCCTACCACCCCCCCAACTCCCAAGTACAGTGTAAGTGTAGTAGGGGTCTTGACCATCAGCAGATTGGTGATCAATTACTGAAGACAGTAATAATAATTGTAAATAGTAATAACATGATAAAACAAGTGTCCTGTACATCATAGTGCCTACAAATCAGTGTTGTTTGCTTCATACTGCTAACCTCACTCCACTGCATCACACACAAATGCCACTTCATGCCCATTCTCAACTCTTCCTAGCCCCTGTGACACTAACCTGTGGTAAGCACATGTACAGTATTTTTATAACATTTTATCATGCATGACTATTTTGTAAGATTTTTTATATCTCCTCCCCCCACCCCCAAGTGTGTGGGGGTTGCTTATCTACTGTAGCCCAGTGCTTGGGGATTAATGAACAAATAATTGAAACTACAAGAATTTCTAAACTACCCTTTCCATTAATATTATCAAAAGCATATCATGGCACAATAGCATGACACTTTGCTTATAGTACAAATGTTCCAGTCATTCTCATGAAAGGTGGGCAGTGTGTGCATGAATTTAGTTACTGTACATTCATTCACACAACAAGACATACCTGCATTTTCACGAAGTAGGCTCTGGCTTTTTTCTTAAACGCTGTTTCGTTGGATTTTTTTAATGCCATCCAGTTGGATGTTTTTGATTTTGTTTTGGGTGCCATGGTTGAATCTGGAAAGTACAGTACAGGTATTGATAAATAACTGCAAAAACTTCTTTCTAGTCCACAAAATTAGAGGGTAGATAACATTATCAAGGAAATACATACAGCAGTGGATTGATCCTGAAATCCCATTGTATAACAGATGTGATCAAGCAACTCTGCATGTACAGTCAACCCTCACTTTACGCGGTTAATTCAACCAACGGCGGCCCGCGTAAAGCGAGAAACGCGTAAAGTGAACAACATAACATATGGGATTAATTGAAATAGAGACCGGACCGACCCCCAAACTCCACTTTTTCCCGACACAATACGTACGTTTTACTAAAAATAACATCTTAACTTTATGATGGTATTCACCCACACATAATATAGAAAGGAACAGTCAATAAACTGAAGGTTAGGTTAGAAAAAAAACAAGGTTGGGGTTAACACTTACGTTAGTAGAAGAGATGGGTCGGCGTACGGGAATGGAGGCTGGTTCCGAGGCAGAGGACAGGTTACTGGCCCTCAGGTGAGTCACCATCACTGTCATCCACACTTGTCAGGGCCTCCCTGACAAATCTCTCAAAGTCATCATCACTGTCTCTACCTCTGTCACTATCACTGGCTTGGGCTGGCTGTGGTGGGTTGCGGGCGAAGAACTCTGTTATGCTTTGCTGACGGCTGGTGTTTAAGTTGTCGTGATAAGCCTTGATGTAGGGCTCCATAGTCTGCAACAGCTGGGTGGTGAAGATTTCATACCTGTTTGCGTCAGGGTCGTCGGAAAGGAGGAGCTTGACTTTCTCGATACACTCGATGGCACCCCTAACATTACTATGGGATAAGCGGCGGTCTTCTTGGGATGACGCACCACCTGCCTCTTCACTGACGTCATCATCATCTACCATGTCGTCGGTAGTCACATCAGGATCCCTTATCACCTCCAGAATGTCATCGTTGGTGGTCTTGGAGAAGCCTGCAGCTGTAACACTGTGCGCAGCTTCTCTGGCAAGGTCCACTGCTACTGCAACAGTCTGAACCTCACCAGTCACAGATTGACTCTGCCTAACGGCCGGAATGCCTTGCAACACATGTCCCCATGCGTGACGAACAGTTGCTACAGACAGCTGATCCCATGCCTCCACCAAGAAGTCCACAGCTTTCTTGATGTTGAATATTCTCCAGAATTGTTTTAAAAGTACTTGTTGCTCTGCCAACTGTTGATCCTCGTCGTCTTCGCTCTTGCTATCGGTGGTGGTGTCACTCAGGTTACGCAACACTTCCCTGGTGTTGGTGTAGTCGTTCAGGAGCTTGAATTTTTTAGTAGAGAATGCAGCTTTTACATTACAGATTAACTCTTGGTCCATGGGCTGTAATATAGATACAGTGGGGTATGCTATAACGAACGGATCCTACTACGAATATTCCTATAACGAACGGTTTTACCTATAAAATTGAGAATGCTATAACGAACGAAACTCCTACAACGAACATTATTTAAAATTTTTATTTTTTTTTAATAATTTATTGTTTTTTATTACAAGTATTAATGATATTCTTTATTTCAGGGGTTTAGATGCATATTTATGCACTTTTTTACAATTTTTAAAATTGTATTATATTTTTCAGTGTTAAGTGGTTGTATTTGGGGGCCTGGAACGGATTAATCCTATAACGAACGAATGCTATAACGAACAAGGTTCCAGAACCAATTAGATTCGTTATAGCATGCCCCACTGTATAGTGTTGGGAGGAAGGAAGACCACTTTTACGTTGGGGTGACGATCTAACAGTAGGGGCGAGTGTCCTGGTGCGTTGTCCAGCAGCAACAAAATCTTGAATGGCACATTCTGTTGCTCACAGAATTTCTTCACATCGGGAACGAAAGTCATCAAACCAGGAGAGGGACAGTGTAGAGAACATCCACGCCTTACGTGCGGTCAGCCAGTGGACATTTAGCTTGGTCATGTCCATGCTCTTGTAGGCGTGCGGCTTGCGTGCTGTGTGGATCACCGATAACTTGAGCTTTCAGGTACTGGAGGCATTGGTGGTAAACAGGACGGTGATGCGCTCCTTCTGCAACTTCCGGCCCCGAACCTTGCTGGCATTCTTCACAACGAAGGTCTTGGAAGGTAGCTTTTTCCAAAAAAGACCAGATTTGTCCATGTTAAACACCTGGTCGTCGGTGTACTGTCCTTCCTCCATAATCTCACGTAAAAACGGAGGAAATTCCCTAGCCGCAACACGGTCAGCACTAGCTTCTTCACCACCAATGTTGATATTGGTGATCTTGTTCCTCTTCTTAAACCTCTGTAACCACCCAGAGGAAGCATTAAAGGGTTTGGGCTCTGTAATTCCCATCTTTCGTGACACTGCAGCATACAGTTCACGTGCGTACTCCTTAACTGAGCGCGTGTCCACCGCCATGTTCCGTCGCGCCTGACGCACCAAGTAGCTCACAAGTAATTTTTCCGTCTTGAGAAGCACCTGGTTGTGGAAATACTTGATCATAGAAGCACCTGTAGACTTTGTGATGTTCATGTGCTCCTTTATCTTGGCTGCATCCTTCTTAATTGTCCTGATCGTAGACTCGTTAACACCATGCTGGCGCGCGAGATCAACCTGTCTTGTTCCTTTCTCCAACTCTTGTATGATCTTATACTTAATTTCGTTGCTTAAGGAACGTCGTGTCTTCTTTGGCTTTGGGCGGCTGGGTCCAGGTAAGGAAAGGTTTCTCTCTGGGGGCGGTGGTCCGGCGGAAGCCATTTTACAGAACAATGGATGCACGATTACACGGTGTGGCCTGGAGGGATGAAACTGCCGCGGCTAGGTCAAGTGTCGTCTTTCCTCCCTCCCTCCCTTCCGCGGGTGGACACGTCATATTACTTTAAACCAATCACAGCTAGCAGCGGAGGGAGGTAAGGATGCATGGCCCAATTACAGTCCGATACATTATATGATGTCACTGATAACGCAACAAAGACACACACTGTGCAACCTACTCGCACCGCTTACACAACATGGCGGATGGCGGGAGGTTTGGATCCAAAAATGGCACGACTCGCCAGCCGCTCTCCACGTAAAGGGGTACACGCACCACGGAATGTGAGCATTCCGGTTTCGGCAGGGTACCGCGTAAGCGTGGAAACGCGGAATGTGGGACCGCGTAAAGCGAGGGTTGACTGTATACACATATCCTCCCCGACTTACGACGTGGTAGGGACCCAAATCCAGGTCGTAAGTTGGAAATGCAAAAAGTAATACATATAAAATCTAAAATGAAATTTAGTACAGTAAGAGTAATCAATAATGAAGAATGGATACAGTGTGACTGTGCACTTACCTTTAATGTAGTCAGCTGAATGCACACGGGGGCCCCCATAATTTTCTATTTACAGAATACATGGTTATCACGCCTAATTGGGACCGCGCTGAGTGCTTGATAACGAAAAACGCGGTAACAAAAGTACAGAACCTATGGGATTTATTCTAATTGGTTCCAGGCACCCAAGACCCAACCCCAATTTTCCCATTTTACGACCATTTAGACCCACTAAAGATATAGATAATGTTCTGGTAAGTATCAGAAACACACATAGGCATGGCTAGGTTTATTACAAAGTGATGAAAAGCGTACAATAAGGAAGAATACATTTGTTACTGGGTACGTTACTGTACATACAGACTTGAGCTGGACTTGAGGGAAGGGATTCCTAGGCTAGAGGGTATAGAGTTAGTGGTCACCACCCGGCACTAACTCTTCGAGTAACTCATCATCCTCTTGAAAACCCTCAAAGTCAGCTTGAGGTAGTACAGGTAGCTGAGGTGACTGTTGTTGTTGTTGAAAGAAGTCCGCAATTTGTCTCTGCCGCAATGTGTTGTGGTGATGGTTTAGCTGGTCAACATAAGGCTGGAGTGCTCTGCCTATGATACCGGACACACTTCACTTCACCGGCCGGGGGAGGGTGCTGTTCGATGAGGTGTTTCAACCATTCACTCAACTCAATGATCTCCCTGACTTTTGACATGCGCTGTGCGGCGGGTTCTGCTTCTGGGCTGTCTTCCTTCAAAATATCCTCAGCTGTAGGCATAACAATTCCAACATAGCCCGTATGTCGTCCTCTGTCGTCTCGTTGAACACTCGTCCTGCCACACGCCTTGCCTCCTCTGCCACCAACTCAACCCCTGCCTGGACAGACTGCGGTTCCCCTGGCACTTCCTGTCGTCGGTCCTCAGGCAAACCCTCTAACACATTTCTCCGGGCGTGGTTTACGGTCGCTGGCGTCACTGCATCCCAACACTCAACCATTAAGTCGATCGCTTTCTTGACATTAAATGCCCGCCAGTACTGCTTGACTTGCTGGTCCGCCTCTATTTCTACGCCACCCCCTCCTTCCTCCTCCTCTTCTTCACTGTCAACCAGCATCTGCACAGCATTTTCGTCCTTGGTTGCAAAGCGCATCCTCCTGAATTGTTTACGGGAGTAAGCAGCCTCGACACACAAGATTATTTCCATGTCCATCGGCTGGATGAGAGATGTCGTATTAGGGGGTAGAAATTCCACTCGTATGTTCGGATGTGCTGATCATAGTAGAGGAAAATGGCCGGGAGCGTTATCTAGCAATAAGAGAATGTTGAAGCAGATGTTTTGTGCCTCACAAAAGGCCTGGACCTCGGGAACGAAGAAGTTGTTAAACCAATCCAGTGACAGACTTCCCTGACATCCAGGCCTTCTTGCTTGTAAGCCAATTCACATTAAGCCTCGTCATATCTTGTCGTTTGTAGGCTCTGGGCTTCTTTGCTCGATGGATAACTGTCGGTTTCATCCTGCACGATCCAGTAGCATTAGTGGTGAACAAGACGGTGAAACGCTCCTTAATTGCCTTCCTGCCACGGACCTTGGCTGACGACTTGGTGATGAATATCCTCTTAGGCATGACCTTCCAATTGAACCCCGTCTTGTCGATATTAAAGATTTGGTCCTGGTTGTACTGACCCGTTGCGATGATGTCCCGTAGGATTTGAGGATATACCCTGGCACTGGCACGGTCACCACTTGCAGCCTCAGCCGAAATCTTCACATTCCTAACTTGGTGTCGTGACTTGAAGTTCTAAATCCAACCTTTAGAAGCGTTGAATGCAGGTGGGTTTGCCACTTCCCACTTCCTAGCGAGCTTCAAGTAAAGTTGTTTGGCGGTATCCATCAAATCTCTGGTCTCTACGGCCATGTTTCTTCTTCCTTGCTTCTGAACATACCGTACCAAAAGTTGCTCAGTTTTCGTCAGCAACTGATTAGGACACCTGCGGGCTTGGGCTAATGCGTTGGTTTGGGCTAGTTCCATGTGCTAGACAATATGATACTTCATCTTGTATATCCCCCTAATTGTGGAATCATTGATGATGTAAGTGAGGGTCACAGCTCGCTTCGATTTGCTGCCATCAATTTGCTTCACCACCTCCAACTTCTCGGCGTACGTCAGCGTCTTCCTCTTCTTTATTTGCCTCTGAGCAGCAGATCCAAGTACAGGGGCTGGTGGTGGGGGCATGTTGGGAGGGGCCTCAGCCATCACGGACAAGAATAGGGTACACACAAAAAAGAGTAATCCTTGGTTCCCGCGCACAAGTCACGGTTATCACGACTGCGGGGAATCGGGGTAGACGGACGCTTTCTGAAACTCCCCTTCTACCCCAGCTGTGGTGGAGGTGCGGGCCAATAAAAAACGAGCTTTGATGGCTGAAAAATCCCGGCCAATGAAAACAGCTCACTCGTGTGATGAAGTTGTGGGCTGATGCGCAGTTCGATGCGCAAACGAGGCATGTGTGAATGCTTGTGTTTGTACAACCGCTTTCAAGTTTTCTTACCTCCATCCATTTTCATCCAGAAAATGTGTTATTGTCAATTTGTAGGTGAAAGGTTTTATCCCCAATAGATTTAGGTGAAGCAAGGGGGTAACAATACACCTGGAGGCAACTGCGTGATAACTAAATTCTCGGCCTGAAAAATGCGCTATAACAGCAGGTGTGCAGATTTTGATGGAGGCGTGATAACAAAAATCGCGATGACCAAGTGCGCTATAACCAAGGAATGACTGTATATATATGCAAGGAAATCACTGTAGGTGCGCGTGATCCAGGTATATGCTGATAACCACAAGGAAACAAGAAAACACGAAGTTCCCAAGCGCTTTCGTGTAATTGGGAACTTAGTGTTTTCTTTTTTCCTTGTGGTTATCAGCATATACCTGGATCACACGCACCTACAGTGATTTACTTGGATATATATATATATATATATATATATATATATATATATATATATATATATATATATATATATATATATATATATATATATATATATATATATATATATATATATATATATATATATATATACAGTTGTACCCCACTTAACGCGGTCAATAGAACCCAGAGGGTCCCGTGTTAAGTGAAATCCGCGTTAAGTGAACAACAGAACATATGGGATTAATTCCAATAGAAACCGGCCCGACCCCCAAACTCCACTTTTTGAAGACACATAACTATGTTGTAGTAAAAATAACATCTTAATTTTATGATGGTACATGCACACAATTAATACTTAAGAGAAATAGAGAAATACAGTCGCCAAGTTAATGTCCATTCAAATAATGGACTCAACTCCCTCCCCCTCTTCTCACACTACACTGCTGGCTCTTCCCTCTCTGAGAAATTTTTGGGGGAAAACTACTAAATTTTAATAAATAATACCTCAAACTAAAGTTAGGATAATACAATTGACATTGCTGGATTCCTTGTAAGACCAGGAATATTTTGAATATAAATGTCATATATTTTGCACAAAAGATAACATAGTTACTCAGAGAAAACATTTTATCTAAAATTTGTATGTCTAATGCAAAATATATGATGTTTATATTCAAAATGATCATCAAATTATAAGAATTCCAGCAATGTAAATTATATTCTGACCGGGTAATTTGTATGAATTTTATGAGCTAAAACAAATATCTTCAGTTAATAAAAAAAAAATATTCTTCACGACACTATCTGTCAATCAAAGTACCCCACCTTGCCTCCCCCCTCTTCCAACCGCGCGGTCAGTCCCAACCCTCCCCCCCACCAATCCTCCCTTCAAGAGATGTTGGGTGAAAAAAATAAATTTTAACATTTTGTATTAAATAATACCTCAGATTAAAGTTAGGATAATATAATTGACATTGCTGGATTCCTTGTAAGACCAGGAATATTTTGAATATAAATGTCATATATTTTGCACAAAAGATAACATATTTACTCAGAAAACATTTTATTTAAAATTTGTATGTCTTATGCAAAATATATGATGTTTATATTCAAAATTATCATCAAATTATAAGAATTCCAGCAATGTAAATTATATTCTGACCGGGTAATTTGTATGAATTTTATAAGCTAAAACAGGCAGTCAGGCAGGGTGGCGGGTGGGGCAAATCTAAAAATAGCGTCTGGAGCCGGACACTCACCGCGGACACTCACCGCGGACACTCACCGCGGACACTCACCGCGTATATGTGGAAAAAATCCGTGTTAAGTGAAAGTTCAGCTCTGGCGAGGCACCGCGTATATGATAAAACGCGTTAAGTGAAACCGCGTTAGGCGGGGTAATACTGTATATATATATATGTATATATATATATATATATATATATATATATATATATATATATATATATATATATATATATATATATATATATATATATATATATATATATATATATATATATATATATATATATATATATATATATATATATATGTAGATCCACAATGAGAACATGAATAAGATAAATCTTGATAAAATCACACGGGAAAAAGGGAAACGGAGCACCTAAGCTTTCGTCTTTATTCAAGGCATCTTCAGAGGCAACTGGATTACATGGACAGAGAGAGGCTTAAATATACAGGGTGCTTTGAAAACCTTGGGTCTAGATGTAGGATAGTTATTTAGTGGGGCCCCTTATTTTTGACCTGACCTGACTAGTCACATCGCCCCCTTCTCTTAAGCTCCTCTACATGTGTGTTGGTGTTGGTATTAGTGGATGACATCATTATGACCTGACCTGGATTTGGGTCCCTAACCCAGTCGTATGTCGGGGAGCAGCTGTATATATATATGTGTGTGTGTGTGTGGCCATTTCGTCACCACTGAATTTACCCCTTTTGTCACCGCGTTCATTTCCATCACCATTTCAAGGGCAAAACACACAGTCTATATTCAGTTTAGAAAATACTGGAATAATTATCTATAAGTAATCACCAATTTGCTACTCAAAACATGCATAGTCTACATTCAGTTTAGAAAATACTGTTATATTGACACTTGAAAGGTGCTAATAATAAATATATTTAATTCCCAGTTTTTATAATTTGAAGATTATGAATTAACCTATCCAGTGTAGCAGTAGTACAGACTTTTCTGCTAGAGTAATCTTTTCGTTTTGTTATCTTCCTTTGAAAAAAGTATTTTTAAAAATTCATAGGGAATTTGGCACCCCCGTTACCTTGGCGCCTGCCCCTTCTGCCACCCACTAGGTACGTCCCTGGTGTGTGTGCGTTAAAATTTGGGCTCCTTGTGATAGATTTGCCGCTCCTTCCAAGTTGCCGCGCCTTCGTGTAAAAGGTTGTTGGCAACTCTGCAGTTCACTCTGTCCCTGTGGCTCCTCCCCTGAGCGTACCTCCCCTCGAACTGCCCGTATGTTTATAAATTTGTTCAGTTAAACAATGATTTGCGATACATCTAGCCTTGACAAACTGTAGGTAATTGTCTATTGTGTTATATGTTTAGTGTTATTTGTTTCTGTTTGCTAGAAAACAAAGAAATGATAGATAGGATTCATCCGAATGCAACTTTTCTCCTTGACTTCAACAGTTCGTAATACGTACATATTTTAACATTTTTAGCATCCTCTTTGAAGTGATAATGCCTTGAAATCATATGCATTTTTATGTTCTTAATTTTTAACATTATTATTGAGAAGAACGGGTCTAATTATAAATTATGAACATATTAGTATGATAAATGCAGAGGTAAACGAACACCTTTTTATGGACCAATCAGCTACAGTACTTTTAAGCGTAGAAAGGGAGCGTGGCTTCTGGGCCAAGCTAGTGTAAAGTGAGTACAGTATAGTACTGATGTTTTTAAGCAAATTGACAAGTTAAAGCCTAAAGTCACCAGTAGGGTGGTCCCGAAATGGGGGTTAAAATTTTTTTTTCAGAATATGATCACAACCACCCTGCCCTTTTATAAGAACTACCAAAATAATATAACCCAAACAATTTCAACCAAATTGAGGGATGTTTAGGGGTGCCACCAGCCAGGGGCACAACTTGACACAACTTACTTAATATATATATATATTATATAATGGCAGATTGTTGACATGTTGTGCAGGTGTCTGTATTCTGTCAATCCATGAATGAGCTTAGGTCTATCTGTGAGTGCCACATATCCAATTGGACTTATAGAGAATTTTTTTGTCACTTCTTTGTACTCATTATCAAGCTCAACATCCTAGACTCTACAAACTGGATGTTGGGTGTGAGTTTGTGTTACCTATTGTCCCTAAATTATATATCATATAATACTAATAATAGTAATGGTTTCTCTTTTTAGATGGCTAGTACTAGTGGTAGTGGCACAAAGCCAAAGACAAGGAAAGACAATGAAGTATGGTTGATTGGGCCAACTGCACACGCTTTGACTGGTCTAAAACTGCCTTCTACTGGGGAAGTTATGAGTTTGTTCTTTCAAATTCACAAAGTCAACAAAGCAACCATCAAAGAGAGTGCCAAGGAAGTGATCAAGCAAGTACTCCCATTTTGGGAAATGGCAAGAATACCAACTTGCTCAGAAATTCATGCCCGAGAAAGAGTTGAAAAAATGTTTGTGAAATGGAAAAGCCTTCAAAAAGCTGCCAAGAGGAGAAGCCAAGCTCAGCAAATAAAGGAAGAAGTTTTCAAAGAACAATTAAGTAAACTATTTGACATTGCTCATGCAAATGCTTTGACAATGATCAAAATTGAAGAAGATCGGCAATTCCTTCTAGCACAACGAGAGGGAAGGAAAGGATACTTGGGTAGAGTTGATAAAGAACTAGCAGCAAAAGAAGTCCGCTTGGCAATACGAAAAGAAGAAGAACGTGCTCGCTTTTCAAAAGCTTTGGCACAGAAAACAAAAGAAGATGAAAAACAAGGAATGAATCTGCCATTCTCATCATCATCTGAGTCTGAGGAACAAGTAAATTCTTCAGCGTCAGAGTGTTCTCCTCCCAAAAAATCAAAACCTGGGAAACCACGTGCAAAAAACATAATGTCCCCTGTTCTGGCCAAAGCACTAGATCGCACCAAGATTAGTGATCGTGATGCTGTGCATTTGATTGCTGCAGCAGCTCAAACTTTAGGTCACAACGTGGAAGACATAGCAGTCAACCGGAAGACAATTCGACAATCAAGAATGAAGTTGAGAGTTCAGTCTTTTAAGTCTGCCAAAGAACAATTTATACTTAATCTTGATCCAACAATCCCTCTTGTTGTTCATTGGGATGGAAAGCTACTTCCTGAAACAGCTGGTGGTAAAGAAACTTATGATCGATTGCCAATCATTGTGTCCTATGAAGAGAATGAACAATTGCTGAATGTATCAAAGTTGCCCAATGGAACTGGTGAAGCGATGGCTAATGCTGTGGTTGAAGTGGTCAAAGATTGGAAATTAAAAGACTATATAGTGGCAATGTCTTTTGACACTACAAGCAGCAACACTGGACGCCACACTGGGGCCTGTAAGCTCATCGAAATTAAACTGGAGAAAAATCTCCTATGGTTGCCATGCCGTCATCATGTGCATGAGGTTGTGATCGGTGGAGTATTTGACCGTGTAATGGGTCCATCAACTGGGCCAGATATACTTGTTTTTAAGAGATTTCAAGCATTTTGGCCCAACATTGTGCAGAGTGACTACAGTACAGCTGCCACTGATCAAGAAATGGATTTGGTTGTGACTGAAAATCGAGAAGGTCTGCTGAAAAATGCATTGAGCTTCCTTAATGATAATCAGCCACGGGAAGACTATAGAGAATTACTCGAATTGGTTGTTATATTCCTGGGAGGAACTCCACACCGCAAGATATCTTTCAGGAAGCCTGGGGCCATGCACAGAGCCAGGTGGATGGCAAAGCTGTTGTATTCCTTCAAAATATGGATGTTCCGGTCACAATTCAAGTTGACAGCCCGAGAAGTCAAAGGACTCGGTAGGGTGGTTCGATTTGCTGTCCTTGTATACTTTAAAGCATGGTTCCTGGCTACTTTGCCAGTTCAAGCTCCAGCAAATGACCTGCTCTTCCTGAAGAAGATTTCTGACTACACAAAAGTTGACAAGGAGGTTTCAGAAGAGGCTTGCCGCAAATTTTCAATCATCTGTGGTACCTCAATGAAGAAGTTGTTGGCTTTGCCTTCTTTGATATGAATGTTGGTGATGAAACAAAGCAGAGGATGGTGGACAGTCTAAAAAAGGCTCAAAATGGTAACCGCATGAAGGCAGTGGTTAAGCCTCAAGACGTGAATGACATTCACCTTGAAGATTTTGTGTCTTCTGCAACAAGTAAATTTTTTGACATGCTCAATCTGCCAACTGACTTTCTACAGTTGTCCCCATCTTTGTGGCAAACTAATGCAGGTTATTGCAAAGCACAAAAGAAGCTCAAGACAATGAAAGTGGTTAACGATGTGGCTGAGAGAGGTGTGGCACTCATCCAAGATTACATCCATGTAATAACAAAGGATGAGGAACAACGCCAATTTCTACTCCAGGTGGTCAGTGATCATCGAAAGAACTTTCCAAACTCTCTAAAAAGGACTGTAATAGAGGCACTCAAGAAGAATGACCTGTGTTGCTAAATTTCATTGATTTTGCTGTATTACAACTATTAACACCTAACTGTATTGATATTGACTATGTATTGTATACGATTTACACATTTACCGGTACTTGTTCAATATAAAAATTAGATAGTCTTTGTGGCACCTCTAAATTTTATCCAAATTTTTAAAAAAATGACAGATCATTGTTTTAATAGTATACACACACTTAGACAGGGTGGTCGTTGAAATTTAAACCAAAAAAAAATTCGGGACCACCCTAGTCACCAGGTCCCGCTGAGATATTTACCAGAGTATTTGCCCTTAGCAAATTTGTTTCACATGTCATTAAAAAATGGTGTAGTGCCAGAATCCTGGATAGTGAATGTGATATTTCAAGAAGGGAGATAGAACACTATCATCTAACTACTGTCCAATCACTTTAACATCAATTGTAGGCAAATTGCTGGAAGAAGTATTTAAAAAAAAAAAATTAAAATCACCTGGAGAAGCACAAGTTACGAATGTGAATCATGGTTCATTGATCAAGTTCTACAAACATAAACTCATAAAATTCGTCCTTCATACCAATTAAACCCTCGGTATTCACTCATTCACACTCTTCGTATTTCATTGAACCAAAAGAGACATAAAACAAATTTCAAACTCATTCCTGAACCTCTAGTCAGCGACTTGTTTGAAATGTGCCGAGTTAGTAATGTGTAGACTGATTTGGTTATTTAAGATGGGCCGAGTTGGTTATTTGAGATGGGCTGAGTTGGAAATGTGCCGAGTTGGAGCCTGTGTGTGTGTGTGGGTACGAACTGTCTCGTAATTGGTTACGAGTTGTCTTATAATCGAGTACGACTTGACATGTTCTGATGGGTACAATTTGCTTGAGTACGAGATGTCCAGCACCGCCTAACCTAACCTGACCAACCAAAGAAAGCTACCTAACCTTACCCAACTTTCTAGCCAGAGGGTTCCACCCCCCAGAACCACCCACCATATTGAACAGAAAGTACTAATTTTGATAGGTAGTGTAGATTTTGCCGTGACCTGCACTGTTCATACAAACACTATTTTACTGAGTGCACTCTGCTCTGACCGGTTGGTTAATATTGATGACTGACCCTCTAAAGAGTTATTTGTTTTGCCGTATACTGTACCCCTTTTCTCTACATTCATCGGTCATTTTTCGTTATTCACCCATCACCTTTTTACGATCTTTGTTTCTTACCATTTATTAGATTTCATTGAGAAACAAAAGAATATACTTGAATTTAAAGGCGCATTTCAAAAATATACGCGATATTCACGATTTATTAGTTGTAAAACTCACAAATTTTTCTAAGTCCCAATTTGATGTTATGGTGACACGCAGCATCGCTCTCGTTTGTTTCTTTGTGTGTTCGTTAGCCTTGATTCATGGGTGGATGGAAAATACATAACTCAGCTCATTCGTTGCTTCTATTTTGAAAACAATGAATCAATTATGGTTAACCTTTCATATCTGCCCCAAGATAAATGTCAGAATCATATAAAACAGCAAGAAAACTAACAAAAAAATGTATGGTCAATTTATAGTATCACACCGGTCTATATTTTGATATTAAAAATAGGTTTTTCCTATGTAATTTGATGAGTTTTGAACAAATTTGATATTAATTTCCACCGGAAATCATGTGTTATGTAGATAGCCACACCCGAACCCACCCAACAATCAAAACGGAAGAAGTTGGATTCTTTACATCAACCAACCAGGCTAAAACTTAACCTAACCCACGGTGGGGGGGGGGGGTAGCGTGAGCAGTCAGACCACCTCCGCCATAAGTAAACAAATCATGGCAACACTTGTGACAGAGCGAAAGTAATAATCTTGAAAAATTAATATCTCGGTTATCCTTAAATTCCGGTGGAAATATCATAGAAGAAAAATATCTTAGAATTGTGTAAACATTACGAGATGCATATTTTTAATAAGGAAATAAAGACCAGTGTGATAATATAAATTTACTAAATATATTTTTCATGTGAAAAAAGTGATGGGTGGATAACGAAAAATTAACCATTCATCAGTGGGTACTGATATGATAATCACTTCTTGTGCAAATGATCAGGTCAGGTTCAAGAAGGGTGTGATAACTCAAAGACGACTCCTTTCCGACAAAAATGATGGTCAAATTCAAATTAATCACACCAAATACCATGGGGGAAAACCTAGATTTCTGGTCAAAAAACAATTGGTAACTGGTAGTGAAACTGCAATTTTACCGCCATAATTAAGCACTAGCCCCAAAAATAAATGTGATGTTCGTTCAAATCACAATGAAAAACTTAAAAAATATTTTAGCAATAGAATTCCCTGTTGGGCATAAAATGAACTTTTTCCAAAATTCTTGGTAAATTTGCACTTCCACCTCCCACTCTGTTAGAAAATAAAAAATACACTGTATCTCATTGGGACCAGATGACTTATTAGGCTTTAGTTTGTCTATTTGCTTACTAACATCGTTACTAGTCACTACTATCTTGCTTAATTTATTTTCTTCACTATCTCTGGATAGAGTCGGTGCCTCGGGTATCATAATTAAATTTTCGGTGGTGAAAACTGTTGAAAAATATTTATTCAGATTATTGCTCATTTGTCCGTCGTTATAAGTTAGCTCGCCGGTATCTGACTCTATTGGTCCAATCTTTTCTCGTGTTTTAGTTTTATACATTTGATAGAATCCCTTGGGATTTGACTTCGCCTCCCTTGCTATCCTCAGCTCATTATTCCTCGTTGCTTTTCTTATCTCGGTCTTAACCCTACCGGCCAATACCTTATAATAATCTCGGAGGTAAACTTCGCCACGATTTATCCTCCTACCCTTGACCTGTTCTTTAAATAATTATTTATCCATTTAGGATCATTGTTGTTTGATCTGAGTTTTTTGTATGGTATGTTCTGCCTTTGTGCATTAAGTAACTCATTATTTAAATTGTCGTGGAACTCGGCAACCTCAGATCTCGTTATCAGGTCAGTCTCAACCTTCACATCATGTGAGGTCATGTAGTTCACCCCCAAGCGTGAGACCCCTTCTCTCAACTGCCTCTTCAAACTATCGAAGTTTGCCCTTCTGAAATCTGGGACTTTTGTGGAATTTTCCTTACGGCTGCCCTGAAAATCTAACTAGAATCTAATTTCTTTGTGATCGCTGTTTGCAAGTTCGTTCCCTACCTCGACATTACAAATGAGGTTTTCTCTGTTCAACAGAACTAAATCGAGTATACAGTATTATTACCCCGGGTGGGTTCGGTTATATGTTGACTTAGGAAACAGTCCTGGATCATTTCAAGAAAATCCTGATTCTGAGTTACCCGTAAGGTCAATCCAATCTATTTGGCTAAAGTTAAAATCGTCTACTATACAGACTTAGCTGTGTATGGAAGCCCTGTGCATTTCATCCCAAATAAGTCGCTCATTAACTCCATCAAGATTGGGAGGTCTATATATTACTCCTGTGATTAATTTTCCCTACCGTCGATTAATTCTATCCAAATTGTTTCTGTATTCCGCTCAGTTTTTATTTCCTTATTTATTTCACACTTCAGATTATCCGACATAGATTGCTTCTCCGCCTCCTTTCCTAATATGCCTATCGGTATGGAATAATTTGTAACCTGCAATTTGGTATTCGACAGGTAACTCACGTGAGTCGAGGTTTATCCATGTTTTGGTGAATGCTATTATATCGACTTTTTCGGTACATACCAAGGCCTTAATATCATCCATTTTGTTTCTCATACTTCTCCTGTTTGCGTAGTAGACATTTAAGTTAGTCGTGTTCTGAGTCCTCTCTTTGTCGCGTTTAGGTTTTAACTCCCTGTCTAATTTAGTTTTGTCATCATTCCTAACACTATTTCCCTGTAACCTTTCACTTTGTTTACCCGCTCCCACTGCAGTCTCCTTCACCCCCATGCTCATATGTTCCCCTAGCAGTTTAAAGACTTTGATATCTTTTGAACTGCCCAAAAGGGAGACCCAGCCAGGGTTGCCACCCCATCCTTTGACAGGTGCACCCCATCCCTAGCATAAAGGTCCACAATGGAAAAGTGGACAAGGTTGATTTTAATATATGAATAGCAGTGTTTTTAAAAAGTGTTTATTTGACCTTAACTTTAACAAATTAAGAGTAAATACGTCTGCTCTCTCTCTTTCTCTCCTTAAATAGGAAGAGCGTGAATATTGGGTGACACACATCGTTACGTTTTTATGCATGTCTATATTTTGTTGACTAATGACCATTTTAAACGTTTACATCGCCCAGTTTATAAATTGAAACTGCCAAATCTATTAGCCTGAAATCTGTAAATTGCAATAAAGTTATTCTAAGCCACAGTGTGAAATATGTACTTGTAGTGCAATGTTTGGGTGGTCCGACTAATTACCCAAATGTAGCCAAATATAGCCGCAATGAAGTCAAATAATGGTCCTACATGAATAAATCGGACTGCTAATCACTTCTCGACTAGTATTTGGTGTCAGAAAGTCACAAAAAATTGGAAAACTTACTTTAATCCGAGTTAATAGATCGCTTGCATGTACCGACGGAGCGAGGAATTACCGAAATGTAGCCGCAATGAATTCAAATGATGGTCGTACAAGCGTAATTCGGGCTGTGAATCACTTCTCGATTATTATTTGGTGTCAAAGTAAAAAAAAAATTGGTAAACTTAATTTAATCTGAGTTGTGTTGGGTTAGGTTAGGTTAGGTTAGATTAGATTAGGTTAGGTACATGCACTTGATCTATTAACTCAGATTAAATTAAGTTTACCAATTTTTTGTGACTGTGACACCAAATACTAGTCGAGAAGTGATTGGCAGTCCGATTTATTCATCTAGGACCATTATTTGACTTCATTCCGGCTATATTTGGCTACATTTGGGTAATTAGTCGGACCCATGTTTGGGTGATGGAATAGCATACTTATGTATCTGTAATGGGATGCAACCATTTTAAAGCCTGCATTACATTTCCCTATTTCACTGCACTTTCCTTCAAAATTTACATAATTTTTGTTTTGTAATCATAGATAAAGCTAAAATTCATGGTATATATACAAACAGGTATGGGTCATCTCTTGAATTGGATGTAAGTAATCTTGGGTACGACTTATCTCGTGAGTTGGGTATGATTTATCTTGGCTACGATTTGACTTGGGTACGAGATGATCCTAACCCACCTGGGAGTATAAGTACTGTACATAGATGAAAAAATATACAGTACTGTACCTACCAGTAATGGTGCAGCAGCGACACGTGTTCTCAACCTTAATGTTTACCACAGTAAGGAAGGATCGTCTCTGTCCGAATGCGATACTTAATTATTAAAGATGACTTCACTTATGATTTTACATACAAAAATATCGTAATTATCATTTATTTTAGTGCTTCACTCTATTTAATGTCAATATCATGAAAAATGTCCGACAAAAAGATGAATTCTCTTTCTAGTTTGGTGTCAAGATATCACAGAAAAACCGAACATTACAAACCAAGGCACGAACGCATAAGAAGCTCGGGATGCGTCATGCGTAATTGCAATATTTGCAAACAACATATAGGCTGAGATCTTGCACGCTAATGATAAACTGCAATTCGGGGATAACATAAATAAATAGTATATTCTTCTAGAATCTAGATTCATGTGCAACTTCCGTACTCCAAAATAGTAAATTACAAATTGAATGTGCAAATAAACACATTATAGTCCAGTAGATAAACTCATAATATAGGCACCTGACCGTAAAGATGCGTACTAATGCATCTTTTTTTTTCTTCATAAAATGAGTTGGGCATTAGTAGTTTATTAAAATATGGGTGCCACTTCTGTCCAGTACTGCTGAGCATTTTTTTATGGCACCCCTCCCCTCCAACCTCCTTAGGCTGAATTGGGTCAGATTTTACTTACTTTTATACTTTTATCCTCTTCGCCACTCATCGGCTTGTTAGCCGCTTGGGCGATCGGTCACGTCTTATAAGAAGGTCGTTCAGATATCTAGACGGTCCGTCCCTCGTGACGATCTTCAGGAGTGAAGTGCTTCCCCATCTGGAGTACTGTCACCCCATCTGGTCCCCGAGATATGCTAGGGACTGTCAGTTGGTTGAAAATGTTCAAAGGAGGGCCACCAAGCTGGTGCCTGCACTTCGGCATCTCAGCTACCCTGCGAGATTGGAGCGCCTGAACTTGCCTAGCTTATACTACAGACGGGCAAGGGGGGACCTAGTTGAGGTTTATAAGCATCTCAGGGGGCACTACTCAGTTGAGTGTCCTTACTTGGAGCTGGCGGACGCTCGCCCCACAAGGGGTCACAGCTCAAGATTGAAGAAGCCGCAAGTCCGGAAAACCGTGAGGGCAAACTTTTTCGGAGTGAGGGTTGTAAACTCTTGGAACAATCTACCAGAGAGTGTTGTGACGGCACCGAGTGTGAGCTCTTTCAAGAGAAGACTTGACCAACACTGGAGCGGGTTCAGGTACATTCAGGAGCCGGTGCATGCCCAGTATTTGCCAACAGTGCGTGACAGAGACGTGACCGATCGCCCGGGCGGCTAGCGAGCCGACCTTTTGGTGAAGAATATAAAGGAAAAGAGTCGTGACCGATCGCCCAAGCGGCTAACAAGCCGATCAGTGGCGAAGAGGATAAAAGTAAAAGTCTTCACCAAAAGATAGCTTTTTTTACTTTTATTTTTATCCTCCTTCGCCACTGATCGGCTTGTTAGCCGCTTTGGGCGATCGGTCACGTCTTTCATTTATAATTCTTCACCAAAAGATCGGCCTCGTAGCCGCCCGGCGATCGGTCACGTCTCTGTCACGCACTGTTGGCAACATTGGGCATGCACCGGCTCCTGAATGTACCTGAACCCGCTCCAGTGTGGTCAAGTCTTTTTTGAAAGAGCCTCACACTCGGTGCCGTCACAACACTCTCTGGTAGATTGTTCCAAGAGTTTACAACCCTCACTCCGAAAAGTTTGCCCTCACGGTTTTCTGGACTTGCGGCTTCTTCAATCTTGAGCTGTGACCCCTTGTGGGGCGAGCGTCCACCAGCTCCAAGTAAGGACAATCAACTGAGTAGTGCCCCCTGAGATGCTTATACACCCCAACTAGGTCCCCTTGCCCGTCTGTAGTATAAGCCAGGCAAGTTCAGGCGCTCCAATCTCTCAGGTAGCTGAGGTGCCGAAGTGCAGGCACCAGTCTGGTGGCCCTCCTTGAACATTTTCAACCAACTGACAGTCCCTAGCATATCCGGGGACCAGATGGGGTGACAGTACCCAGATGGGGGAAGCACTTCACCCTGAAGATCGTTACGAGGACGGACCGTCTAGATATCTGAACGACCTTCTTATAAGACCCAATAATTTATTTGCCTGATTTTCTTCTCACAATGGCCTGAGAACTTCAGCTCATTGTCAACATACACACCTAGGTCCTTCTCACACACAGTCTCAACTAGTGCAGTTTCTTCATCCTGTTGGGACATATGATACGCCTCCTTACTGTTGGTACGCCCCAGGTGCATCCTCTACACTTCTGTGACATTGAATCTCAGCAGCCATTTCTTCTGACCATTCCTGGAGCCCACAGAGGTCCTTCTGCAGCTCTTCAGTCCGCTTGGTTCTAATTTCCCGAAATAACTTGGCGTCATCGGCAAACATTTGTATGGAGGAGGTAGCAGTCAGGCATGTCATTTATGAAACAAACAAACAACAGCGGGCCCAATACACTGCCCCTGTGGTACTACTCACTTGTTACAGGTACAGATGATGATTTCGTGCCATTAATCACCACACACTGCTTGCGGTCATGTAGAAAGTCTCTATCCACGCTAGGACATTTCCGAATTCCGTACCCTTCCAGTTTGATTTTCAGCCTTTGTGGGTACACTGTCGAAAGCCTTGGCAAAATCTAGGTAAATATTGTCGATATTACCACCCCATTCCAGAATATGGGTCCAAATATCCAATACCTTGAGCAATTGTGTTAAGCAAGAGCGCCCCATAAAACCGTGTTGGCAATCTTTACAAGGTTGTTTCGTAGTAGATGTTCCATTGCGGCATCTCTGATAATACTCTCAAGTACTTTACATATTATGCTGGTCAGGCTCACTGGTCTATAGTTGTTCGTGGAGGACGATCGCCCTTCTTGGAAGATAGACTCACATAAGCCACTTTCCATCCACTGGGGACCATTTGTTTATCCAGGCATTTAAAAAACAG